GTTATTCACCAAATGGATGTGAAAACAACCTTTTTAAATGGTGATCTTGACGAGGAAGTTTACATGAAACAACCAGAAGGTTTCATTATGCCCGGTAAAGAGCATATGGTTTGTAAACTTGTCAAATCTTTGTATGGGCTGAAACAAGCGCCTAAACAATGGCATCAAAAATTTGATGAGATGATTTTGTCTTTCGGTTTCAAGACAAACCAATGTGACAAATGTGTTTATAGTAGATTTGATGATACTACTAGAGGTGGAGTGATCATTTGCTTATATGTAGATGACATGTTGATTTTTGGTACCGACCAAAATCAAGTGGATGAGAAAAAGAAATTGTTGTCCTCCAAGTTTTCCATGAAAGATTTAGGAGAGGCTGATGTAATTCTTGGAATAAGAATTAAGAGGATGAACAAAGGATTGGTAATGACTCAAAGTCATTATATTGAGAAAATTCTCAAGCGGTTTAATTTTACCGAGTGTTCTCCTGTGAGTACTCCTATGGACCCAAGTGTGAAATTAATGCCAAATAATGGTATTCCCATTTCACAGTTGGAATACTCTAAGGCTATTGGTAGCTTGATGTATGCCATGACAAGTACTAGACCTGATATTGCGTTTGCTGTGGGTAAGTTGAGCAGATACACTAGCAATCCTAGTGCTCAACATTGGCAAGCAGTGAATAGAGTGTTTAAGTATCTCAAGGGAACCATGAATTATGGTTTGAGTTACTTGGGGAGTCCTTCGGTTTTAGAAGGTCATTCAGATGCAAGTTGGATTACCAACATGGAGGACCATTCCTCAACTTCTGGTTGGGTATTCTTGCTTGGGGGAGGTGCCATTTCTTGGGCTTCCAAGAAGCAATCTTGTATTACAAACTCGACAATGGAATCTGAGTTTGTTGCGTTACCAGGTGCTGGTAAAGAAGCAGAGTGGCTAAGGAATTTGGTTTATGAGATTCCTTTGTGGTCTAAACGGATAGCACCTATTTTTATCCTTTGTGATAGTGCTGCGGCTTTGGCTAAGGCATATAGCCAGGTTTATAATGGCAAGTCTAGACACCTAGGTGTTAGACATAGTATGATTAGAGAACTAATCATGAATGGTGTGATTTCGGTTGAGTTTGTGAAATCGCAACAAAATTTGGCAGATCACTTGACTAAAGGTCTGACAAGAGACTTAGTGCACAAGTCTGTAATCGGGATGGGATTAAAGTCCATTTAATTCTATAATGATGAGACACCCAATTCCCCCCTAATATAATGTTAGGAGTTGAATTCAATGTGGAAAGCTCATACTTATAGATTGGAACACATGAAGTACTCATCCCAGGTATGTGTTCGGTTCTGCTAGTTAGCCAGGTTGAAGTTTAACTTCTTAATAATTCCTTTGATAGATGTATGTGCATATACATGGAAAGGAGTTACCTACGTGATTGTGAAGTGTAGCCGCATTTCAAGAGGTTGTGGACTTGACCTTGATACGATCATGAGAGGATTGGGACACACGGCTTTATAATAGTGTCAAGTTGTATTATGCTAGAAATTCAATAAACTAGTATGTATTTTACTTTCTGGTATTCAAATGGGTTGATGGGTTCAATTCTTAGAACACCCTGATTCTCGAGTATTTGCAAGTGTATGATACTAAGTGGAAATTCAATCGTTTCGATATTTTCATTATGTACTAGTTTGGTTTGTTGTTGATAAGGTTATGTTTGTTCAAGGGTTACACTAATATGGGGGAGGATTGGCTCCACCTCAGGGTGTGGTGTTCCTGGTGCGGTGAATGCTCCACCTCACCATCACCGCATTGTGTGGTATTAGTATTCCTTACAATCTTAGCTGGGCTCAATGTTGCCTTGGCTCTTCACAGGTATTCGATTCTACCATCTGGTTTGCATGCTTCACTCACTTGTACCCTGCAACTTCTCCATTCACTGTTATTTGTATAATCAATAAATATACAAACTAAATATAATTTATATACTAACGTACATTTTCCTCCAAGGAAGGTCTGGCATCATAAACTTACAAGTGACTCAAGCTTCTTCTTTGACACCATATATAGAGAAAACTCATTCATTCACCAGTGATTGAAGCAATTCATAGGATTTGGTTGGCCCAGAAGAGTAAAACGAAGAAAGCTCTCTCCTTAATGTGGGCTTTGGTTACTTGTACAGTACATAATTTGAAGCAAGGAGCCAATGAATAAGATTTGACCTTCAAATATTAACCTTGTTTTCTTTTTATTTCATAAAGACTTATTCATTGTATAAGTTTCACGGTTGTAAGTTTTCTACAATTCATTAAATTCAGAATTTATTAAAAATTTGTATGGTACGTAATTTGAGACAATAGTAATTGAAATCAGTTTCATTTCGAACCAACTATACACAGTTTCACATGTAAAAAGAAATATAAATGTGTACCAAATCGATTGAAATGATGTTACACGTAGGATACAATTGTCTTCCAATAGAAACACCATTAAAAGTTGAACGCACTCCTGAATGAAAAATAAGGCATTGCCCAAATTATCGGTTTTGAAAAGAAAAAAAAAGAAGAGAAAAGGGTAGCTCAAGTATAAATAAGAACATGCAAATAATCCTTTTTCAAAAAGCAAAACATGGGAAAGCAAATAATGTCTTCTTCAAACTTCTTATTTTTCTCTCTAGCTCTACTAACCATCACACTCTCCCCCATACCAAATTATGTTTCTTCTTCTTTGGAAGAAACCAACGCTCTTCTTAAATGGAAATCAAGTCTTAAAATACCAAACAACTCCATGCTCTCTTCATAGGTTCCCCTCCATTTAAATTCTAGTGCATCAGTTCCATGCATTTCTTGGTTTGGAGTAGTTTGCAATGCTGATGAGAGCATTCAGAGGCTAAACCTCAGTACATCTGGCTTAAAGGGTAGGCTTCATCAATTTTCATTCTTATTGCTACACAGTCTTACTCATTTCCAGCTCATCCATGCTCTCTTCATGGGTTCCCCTCCATTTAAATTCTAGTGCATCAGTTCCATGCACTTCTTGGTTTGGAGTAGTTTGTAATGCTGATGAGAGCATTCAGAGGCTAAACCTCAGTACATCTGGCTTAAAGGGTAGGCATCATCAATTTTCATTCTTATTGCTACACAGTCTTACTCATTTCCAGCTCAATGTCAACAAGTTTTTTGGCCCCATCCCAGCAGAAATTAGACTCCTATCCAAACTTATCTATCTTGATTTTTCAGAGAATAAGTTTTCTGGTGTAATCCCACCTGAAATAGGAAACCTGCACCAGCTAACCACCTTGTACCTATACTCAACCAATATATCTGGCTCAATTCCTTCCTCATTGGGTAATTTAACATATTTGAATGTCCTTCGTTTGCACCGTAATCAACTCTCTGTTGGTGATTTTAGTGTCACCATGTCATTTTAAGTAAATGGAACTAACAAGTGAGCTAAGGGACTTCATGATTTATACTCTAATATATGTACGGGGTTGTGCGGAGTGCACGCATGTATAAGATCGAGTCATAAGCCGGTTCGACGACTAGTCAGGGGTCCAGGGGCAGCGCCCCCGGGTCCGGGGTTTCCAAAGGGGCAGCCCCCCTAGCGGGGTCCAAGGGGCAGGTCCCGCTGCCAGGTCAGCGGGTAGGGTCGAGGGGCAGCGCCCCAAAACCTCACCGAATTTTGCATGTGGGAACATAATGGAAAACTCAATTTCTTGAGGGTGATTATGGTAAAACTAACGAAACTCGTTAGTTTTGGTAACCCTAATCCGGATTAATATTACTTGCTTCCAAAGCAACTAATGACGGCCCAACCCTAATGAAACCCTAATCGTGTTATATATATAAACAACTCTTCCTTTCCAGAAGGGGGACGTTCTTTAGCTCTCGTTTTTCATCACACATTCACAGAACCCTTTAGCATATTGGCTTACGTTTTCTGTGTCTAGAAATGTAAGTGTCCACTTGGATTATCCTAGGCTGAATTTCTTCTAACCCAGGCATAGGGTAGAAATATCAGTTCATAAAGTGATATCACGATCCAAGTTGGTATCCAGATCTCCACCACAAACCCTAAATTTCCCAACACTCTCTGGTCCCATTCCTACTGAACTTGGGAATTTGAAGTCTCTTATTTGTCTTGATGTGAGCCAAAATACACTTAGTAGTTCTATTCCTTCATCATTGGGTAATTTGACATCTTTGGATATCCTATATTTGCACCAAAATCAGCTCTCTGGTCCCATTCCTATTGAACCTGGGAATTTGATGTCTCTCACTGATCTTGCGATGAGTCACAATCAACTCTCTGGTCCCATTCCTATTGAAATTGGGAATTTGAAGTCTCTCATTGGTCTTGCAATGAGTGACAATCAGCTTAGTGGTTCTATTCCTTCATCATTGGGTGATTTGACTTCTTTGAAAATCCTTCATTTGTTCCAAAATCAACTCTCTGGTCACGTTCCTATTGAACTTGGGAATTTGAAGTCTCTCATTTATCTTGCTCTGTTTCATAATCAACTTAGTGGTTCTATTCCTTCATCTTTCGGTGATTTGACATCTTTGATTTACCTTCATCTGGACCAGAATCAACTCTCTCTTTGGTCTCATTCCTTCATTAAACCTCAGCAACATAGAGGGTCTGTTTCTTCATGACAATCAATTATCTGGTTCGATTCCACAAGGATTGGGAAATGGAGACGTGCTTGAGCTGTCACATAATCATTTTTTTGGCCATTTGCCTGAAGATTTGTGCCACGGGGGAAAGCTTGAAAAGTTAATAGTAACTGGTAATCAACTCACTGGCCTATTCCAAGAGGCTTGCGGAATTGTCCTAGCTTAATTAGGGCTGGTTTTGATCATAATCAATTCAATGGAGATATATCCAATAGCTTTGGTATCTATCCACGCTTAAACTTTCTTGATATCAGTCACAATAATTTTCACGGGCAGCTTTCTCAAAATTGGAGTAAATGCAAGAATTTAACAACCATAGTGATGGCCTATAACAACATCAGTGGTAACATACCACCAGAGTTTGCACATTCAACTCAACTACAAAGGCTTGATCTTTCTTCCAATAATTTGGTAGGTGAAATCCCAAAGGAGTTTGGGAAGATGAAAAGTATGTTGAATTTGTCCTTGGCTAATAACCAACTTTCAGGTATTATACCTCCACAGCTCGGATCTTTAGAACTCCTTGAAGTACTTGATCTATCTACAAATAGATTGAATGGGTCAATACCAACAAGTATTAGTCAACTTGATCTATCCTTGAAGTACTTTTGTCGCCGCTAATTATCTTTTTCCTCGTAGTGCATATCCACTACTTGAATGTTAGTAATAACAAGCTTAGTGAGAAAATTCCATCCGAAATTGGTAAATTAGTTCAATTTACAGAAGCTGATTTATCTCAGAATTTCCTCACAGAAGAGATACCATCTGAAGTTCAAAGTTTGAAAAATCTACAAAAGTTGAATCTTTCTCACAATAGACTATTTGGTTCTATTCCTAACGATTTTACAAGTTTGCCTAGTGGGATTGACATTGACCTGTCCATAAATAAGCTCACAGGTCCAGTTCCGCTTTGCTCCAACTTTGTGAATGCATCCTTACAAGGTAATCCAGGTTTGTGTGGAAATTTTACAGGACTAAAATTATGTCCAAGTCAAATCCTGAAGAAGAAAAATGATCCCTTTCATCATCAACTCATCCTAGTAATTATGCTCACTCTTATCGGGGTACTTTTACTTGGTTTATTCATGTGTGGCCTCATTGCTTATCGAAAATAAAAGAGACTTTCTCCACAGAAACCATTGTACAAAGAAGGTGATTATTTCTCCATAACAAGTTTCGATGGAGGAGTAGTGTATGATGACATCTTGAAAGCAACGAATATATTTGATGAAGCATACTCTATTGGGACCAGAGGATATGGGACTGTGTACAAAGCCTAGCTACAACCTAACAATGTTGTAGCTGTTAAGAAACTTCACTCATCATGTGAGAATGTTGATCATACTGGATTCCTTAATGAGATACGAGCATTAACAAAAATAAGGCATCGAAACATAGTAAAACTTTATGGATATTGCGCACATGCCCGCCACTCATTTTTGATTTATGAATACCTTGAAAAGGGAAGCCTTGGATCAATCTTAAGAAGTGATCTTTTAGTAACAGAACTAGGTTGGTTGAAAAGGGTAAATATTGTAAAGGCTGTAGCTAATGCTTTGGATTATATGCATCACGACTGCTCACCTCCTATAATTCATAGAGACATTTCCATTGCCAACATCCTTCTTGATTCTGATTATGAGGCACATATTTCTGATTTTGGCACATCCAAGCTTTTAAAGCTAGACTCATCCAATTGGACCGCAATTGCAGGCACCTATGGCTATATCACGCCAGGTAAATTGATTTTCTGATGTTAGTTCTACATTTTCTTAAGTTTCGTGATATATATGAATAAGTATATGTACATATATGTATCTATGTTAGAATCTTGTGAGGTTGATATAACTCTTTTTTCTTTTTATCTCATGTATCCTTGGATGTAGAGCTTGCTTATACAATGGTCGTGACCGATAAATGTGATGTGTATAGCTTTGGGATTATTGCACTAGAAGTGATAATGGGAAAGCATCCTGGTGAACTACCAACATTGTCTGCTGATTATCTGGTGTCATCAAATGTTGGAGATAGTCGTATTCCACTACCTTCACCACAAGTCGAGAAAAAAGTGAATTTGGTACTGAATCTCTCAAGAGCATGTTTGAACTCGAATCCAAAAGAAAAGCCAACAATGCGCCAAGCTTCAAATCTGTTGATGAAGGCTTGATATTATTGTACTTTCAATGTTATTTGCTTTTTTGTCATGTTCGCTACATGCATCCTGATAATATGTATTTGTTTAAATGCCTTTTTGTTATGAAAGTTCTCATATCTTTTTCTTAAATCATTACGTAGTACATTAACAAATAAGTCAGTGAAGATTGATATCCTTTTAGAACTTCACTTCTGGAAATCTAGTATTAGTCAAGAACAAATTTGTCGTACTATACTCTTTTATGTGGAGTTTAACAAGTTTTACCATCACTTGGATTTCCTGTAAATGTAAAATGTACCAAAAATAACATTAGTAAATTAATTATATACAATAAATTGTTTTCTATAACTTATGTCAAATAGATGAAGGCTCAAATACAAACACCAATAGAACATTAAACAATATATAGAGAGAATATTTACATATTTTATCAGTTACAATTCATCTTAACTCTTAATAGAAAGTTGTTCCTGTCTCTTTTTCAATTATCCTGCTTATAGTGTTTTAAATTTGATTACACACAATTGGGTTGTTAAACGGAATAGAATATGTAGCACTAGAAAAGCTAACAGGGTACCCATCGTTCTGCTTACTCTCTTTGTCCCAGAGGTCAAACATGACTTTTTTTATACATAAAATCAATTAATGTTATATCCATGTCATGCCATATCATGTTGCCTTGATATTTTTATTCAAGTTATATAATATTTGAATATTGCAAAATGAATAGGTTGAGATTGCAATCGTGAGTTGTAGAGATCTTAATTCGGAAGAATCACCATCAAAAGTTGACCAATAAACAACAAATTATCATAGCCATTAATGCACTAAGCAAGGTTTAGGCTCATACGTACATTTACATCTATGTATGGATAATGCAATCTTACAAAATGGCACCCGTAGTTTGATGGATCCTCGAAACTATTCATACCAATTAAGGCAAATATATATAAAAGCTTCTTCATCTCAATATTTCTTCCATGACTATTGGGAGAACCACAATGGCACCCGTAGTTTCATGGATCCTCTATAGATCATGAAAAATACTGCAAATTGTTTAATTTATGAAAAATTTTACTGCAATCGAACTAAAACAAAGGTTCTCCACATTGATGGGCATCAAACGTTTTTTTTCAAAGACATGATATTTAATGTTGAACAATTTCTTTTGAAAAGACGTCATAAGAAGATTAACTAGCAATATTAAAAAGCAAATTTAGGTCAACTTAAAGTGCGATTGCCTGGGAACCATGACAACTCTCATATTGTATTGGGCAAGTAGGTTTTTTTAGTCAGAATTGACAAATATTTGGTGAGGGGTACTTATTTCTTTTAAATATTTTTTGTTTTCTAATACTTAATGAATTCTGAACATCGTCCTCTGAACAAACCATACAACTAATGTGGCATTAAATTCGAATAAAAAAATTCATTCAGTCAGTTTAACAAACAATTAACATGCAATAAAATCACATTTTTAAACAAGCAGTTTTATTAATATCCACTTCAACAGTGATGCAGACTTCGACAGCTCTGCTTCTACTATGGAAATGATTCGATATTCATACCGATGAAAATCACCAATCCGTTTAAATGAATAAATTTTTAGCGATTTTGGATGGATTCAGGTGAGATTGAAAACAAATTTGTAAGATCAATAAAGGACTCAGATGATTTGGTTGCCGTTTCTGCACTTGGGAATCACGAGTAGGGGAACGAAGGAGGATTGTGGGCGACCGCATGGGAAATCAACGAGCAAGCTCCCAGTTATGAGCTGTGCGGTTTAGTTGATCCGGGTAGGTATTGGACAGAGGGACGGAATGGAGTTTGGGTATCATCAAATAGAAAATAGGGTTATTAGATTATTTGATAAACATATGATGTAGAGGGTTAAGTTTTTCAGTTTTTATTAAGGTTATTAAATAGCTAATAACTGAAACTTTTTATTTTTGGTAGTTGCGTTTTCCTACAAATTAGGAATTATACGTATTTTGAAAAATTCTAGTTTTTTTAATGTTTGTGGTGGCTTGTTCTTTCTGGTTTCTCCATAGATGTCTTTCTTTTTAATAACTTATGAACAGTTCCAGCATATAAATAGATATTAGCAACTTAAAAAACCAGGGAGGCCATGGCCTCCCCTGGCCCTAAAGGCATCCGCCACTGGGCAAAACTAATGCCAACTTTACTAGCCGATACACCAAGTAATATGAAATGTATTTTCTTGTTTCTACCATGACTCTAGAAAGATTGGCGATTCCATTCAAATTAGAAAAACTAACATCTTCTTTTACAACATCATAATAAAAATCAATTTGTTGTGCAAGATTCCTCATTTCCACCTCCGTAAAATCCTTTGGATATAACATACTCAATTTCACTAACTTTGATTCGTGAAATTGCGAAAATGAGTCAGAAGGACTCAAAGCCGCCATATTTGTAAGCAATTTAGTGCTTATCTCGCTGAAACGATCATGAAAGTCTTGAAGTTGAATATTAAGAACCATGGTAAAGATATTAACTGTATAATAATGTTGATTGTTGATGTCAGTATTTTCACTTTGGATCCTTGCATAATTTTCCGACATATCCACTTTTTTAATTTCATACTTTTCACAAAAAGCATATTCTTCCTTTAGAAGATTTTCAAAACCCTAGTCTCTAAAATTTTTCTTTGTTATCTCTGTGACAACCGTCAAAATTCGAGACAGTTCTAGATTTGAATAAACTTAGTTGCACGTATAGGCACGACACATACTAGACTTGGTAACTAGAAGCTAAGTTGTAACCTACTAGAAACTTGGAAACAAGTAGAATCGAAGAATAGTGTACATAGATTTCACATTGGTATGTGAATTCTACAACTACTTAACTGTAATGACTATCCATGTTCGGGTCATTCCTTGAATTGAACATCTTTGCATGAATCATGTAGACACATCATGCACTTGACCTATAAGTAAAAATTAGGTCAAAGTCTCATAGAAACTTAAGTCAAAGTTGAAATCTAGGATTAGTATACTTGATTCCTCAATTTCGTTTGAATCTCGGAATCACAACATAAAATGCCAATAAACAGATAAAAATAAATTACAAATATTATATCTAACTTGAACAAGAGTTAGGAAACACAAAAATAACTTGAAGTCTCAAAGATTCAATTTATTTTGATATCCAAAGATTTACAAAATTTCTCAAAACCCTAAAAGTCCTAAAAACTTAAATTTATAAAGTTTTATATTAAAATCCCATAAAACTTTTTATAAACACTATAATATCAAATTAATATTTTTAAAATGTGGAAATATAATCAAAGAAATTAATTTAATTCATTAACATTAACTTTACATTTATAAGCTAAAAATCCAAGAATTATAAACAAAATTTATATAAAATTCACATTTTATATAAATTGAAAGAAATTGTATAAAAATTTAGGGAATTATACAAAATAAATAAATAAAATGAAATGAAATCTTCTCTCACTCCCTCAAATTCGGAATCCTCTCTCTCCCCTCATTTCTCATTCCCAATACTAATCATTTTGATCACCCATTCACTCCACCTATCTCTTTCTCTCTCTAAAATCTTCCCTCTTCATTTCCTCTGCAAATGACGAACCTAAAAGCAATATCACTGGGAGAGATTTTTACATTCAATTCTTCATGAGTTAATAAGAATCTTTATATTTTGGTGGAGTATAACCCCAAAGAGACGACGAGAGATATATAATCTCTCTTTTCTCTCTTTTCTCTCTTTTCTTCTCTCTAAAACCCCTACTCTGTACCTCTATGAATTAGCTCCAAACCCCACGAAATTTCCAGCAAATATCCCTCATTTTACACAAGAATATTTATCATTTGAAGTTGATCTTCAAGGTAAAATCAATTTCCTTACATGTTGTTCACTTTTCTTTCTAAAATATCAAGTTTTCTCGCATTTTTCTTCTCCATAAACACTTTTCTTTGAGATTATTCACATTCATGCTCATGCATGTCAAATTTGATGATGATGGTGGTAGGATTTCACCTTCTAACAACATGAAAACAACATGCATGTTGATAGAAGGTGAAATCTAATGATCAAAACCTAAACCAAATCCATCAACTTAAGTTTTACAAGTTTTAAAGATCCAAAACCACATGCATTCAAGTTTTTCATTTAGAAACATCATTTTGAAAAAAATAAGTTCATATATGGTCTTCAAATCATAATGCATGTGGTGAACATCAAGCTTAAAGGCTTGATTATCAAAGTACATTGTTAAGAATGCTTATAAAGGATTTATTCATAAATAAATATCTAAAACCTTTTTCTATTCAAATACAATTTTTTCCCAGAATCCAAACAACAAAATAAGATGATTTGGAAATTTTCAGAAAATAAATCATTTTTCTTGATTTATTGTAAGTTTTGTAAGAAAATAGAGCAATAATTCACATAAAATATTTTTTTGGTCAATAAACACTGGTAAATTTTTGATATTACTTATGCACTGATTAAAGACGTTTCATGAAGTTTCATGCATTTCTATGATTGTTTTCTATTGATTTCACATTTATTTTTGTTGAAGGGAAATAAAATGTAAAATACAGTTATGAATGTCCAAAGCCATACTTCATAATTTTCGTATCTTCTAGAAATCATAGAGACTCCATGAAAAATTTTCCAGATTTTTCCAAGACAATTTCTTATTTTTCGTGATTTAATGAATGTATAAGGGATTAAGTTGATGAAAAATAGCTACACTTATCCAAAAATTATGAAACTTCATCAGAATATCTTATATTACATGTAAATCATAAATAAAATGTTTAGCAAATTTTACCTACTGTTTAATAATTTTTCACGAATTAATGCTTATTTAAGTGAATAAAACAAATAAAATATTTAAACTGTGTGGAAACCAACTTTTATATTTTTCCCAGCTTTCATATGTGTAACAACAGTAGAAAAAAATTTTGGAGAATTTTTGAAACTGATTTCCATTTTGTCTCTATTTTGATAGAATAAAT